AAGGTCTTAAAAATTTTGCAGAGATACAGTGAAAATACTGAGTTTCATTTCTACACTCGAGCGACCACATTATCGCTCGAGTGGTCCCGCCTATAAACAAGCAAGATACTGGAAGTTCGCATCACCGCTCGAGCCAACAATTGACCGCTTGAGCGGTCACCCAGAACAAATTGTTACAATCTGTCCCTCTTAAAGAATTTCGTTCCCTAAATTTCGTGATTCTTGTCAACAACAACTCCTACAAACCCAAAGGAAAACGAATACTATAGTAACATCAATCCCAACCATCACAATATCGTTAATCGAGAACAAAATCAATTGACAATTCAATTAATGATATGAAAGTCTGAATTTCTAAGAAAGTAACTCTTTTTCATTACTTCACTTCACAAGTCAAAATACATATTGTTAAGGTTAACAACAAATTAACAACATTACACACCATTAAACAAATCTAGGTATTTCTTGCGAGCCTTGGCTTCTGGTTTTAAAGTAGCTTTTTCTACCCCGTAATGATGCCACAACACCTTGACTAGAGGAATGGTTTTTTTCTCTCAAAACTTGCTCACAGGAATCTAAGATTTTTACAGGTCTTTGCTTATAAGAATCATTCTTATCTACCTCCAAGTTCATCCAATCTAAGACATGAGAAGGATCATGTTCATACTTACAAAGCATTGAAAAGTGAAACACGTCGTGTACCTCAGATAGTTATGGTAGTAAGGCCAGACGATAGGCCACCTCTCCTACCCATTCTACAATGTCAAAGGATCAATGAACCTAGATGACAATTTCTCACTTCACCCAAATATCATCAAACCCTTCCTAGGTGATATCTTAAAAAACACAGGATTACCCACTTCGAAAAATAAAGGTCTTCTCCTCCGGTTGGTATAACTCACTACAAAAAAAAATCACTTTTAGCGACTAAAATATTGGTTGCCAATTGTCTATTTTTTGGTCGCTAATGACATTCTGTGACCAAAAATTTTGATCGCTACGTTTGTCGCCAAAACGCTGTCGGGAAAGGTCTTGGAGGGCTTTGTCGACCAAAAAACCTTTGGTCGGCAAAAAGCAAGTCTTTAGCGACCTAAATTTTGGTCGTCACTAGTCGATTATATTTATTTCAAATTATACATTTACCGACCAATGTTTTAGTTGTCAATAGTCAAGGAATCGCCAACCAACACCTTTAGTTGCCAAAAGTTTCAAACGTGAAAAAATAAAATAATTCGTTGTAGAACAATTTGATTCGCTCTTGCAGAGACTCGAACCGCCAACCTCCCGCACCATAAACCTTATGCACCATACTCTTCCCACTACGCCTCTATAGCACCAAATGATTGTATATGCGACACATATTATTTATATAGTACATACACCCATATTAATATATAAGTATATGTATAAATATAATTATTTTATTACATAATTTATGTAAAATAAACTATTTAGTAGCAAAATTAAAATAAAAAATTAACTTTTAGCAACCAAAATAATTTTGGTCGCTAAAAATGACCACTTTTGGCTACTAAACTTATTTTTTTGTCGCCAATTGTAGATTTTTGGCTACTAAAATTTTTTTAATCACCAAAAAGCTTTACTTTTGGCTACTAAAATTTTTTTAATCGGTAAAGCCCATATAATCAACTACCAAACTTATTTTTAGTCACCAATTGTAGACTTTTGGCTACTAAAATTGTTTAGTCGCTAAAAAGCTTTACTTTTGGCTACTAATGCTATTTTGGTCGCTGAAAGCTATACTTTCTGTGACCAAATTTTTTTTAGTTGGAAAATTTGGTCGCCGAATGTATTTTTTCCTGTAGTAACTCTTCTGTCGGCTTTGAGCTGTAATCAACCTCTTCTGAATAAGAGTCACTTTCTCGGTGGTCTCACGAAGTAACTCGGGTCCAAGCAGGGGTGAATCCCCCACCTCAGTCCAACACATCGGTGATTTGCATGAACGCCCATACAAGGCTTTGAAATGTGTCATCCTAATACTAATTTTGAAGCTATTATTATAGACAAACTTCGCTAGAGGTAATTGACTCTCCCAAGAACCCTTGAAGTCTAACACACAAGGTCTCAACATATCTTCTAGGATTTTGATGGTACGCTCAGACTACCCGTCTAACTTAGGGTTACAGGCGATGCCAAAAGTTAACTACATATCCATAACGTTTTGCAAACTTTGCCACAACCATGTGGTAAAACGAGAGTCTCTATTCAAGATGATGCTCACCAAAATCCCATGGAGCTTAACAATCTCTCTAACATAAAGCTTAGCCAAATAATCAACCGAATCACCCATATACATAGCAAGCAAATGGACTGACTTAGTTAGTCGATCCACAACTACCCATATCACATCATTACCTCTTTGTGTTCTACGAAGGCCCGAAACAAAGTCCATAGCTATGTACTCCCACTTCCACTCGGCTATAGGTAAGTGTTGCAACAACCTGCTTCTATAACCCGTGTTATGAGCATTGGTTGTGCAAGGATGGTAAACAAAGTGGCATGCTAAAGGACTCACCCAAATGTAAGTCAAATTCACTCAGGTCACCCAACATTTACTATTCTCTAATGGCTAGACTAGTAACGGTACCTACGGACTTCCTACGTAAGGCATCAGTCACCACATTGGCCTTTTTTTGGATGATAATGTAATTCAAAATTGTAATCTTCCATGAACTTCATCCACCTCCTCTGATATAGGTTCAAATCTTTTTGAGAAAATAGGTACTTAAGGCTTTTATGGCCCCAACAACATGTCATAAAACTCCATGAATATAATTATAAACTAATTAAAATGCAAGAAATAATATTTTCATTATTAAAATATTAAAAAATTAAAAAAAAAATTTGAGTTGAGAGTTTGAACCTTAAAGAAACCCTATTAACGTTTACTGTGTATGAAAATAATGAGTTTTGATATATACGTTGAGTAGTAATAGCCATAGTGAGAGAAAAAAACATGTTACGAAATTTTAATTATATAAATTATTTTATATTTTATGGTGAAGAATTTAAAATATTTTAATAGAAAATATTTTACGAAGAACTAGTTTTGAGTATGTGATTTATTAATTTTTTTTAATTGGAAAACTCCTTTTTTGAGTGCGTGATTTATTAATTATTTTTTCTTAATTGGAAAACTCCTTCCTTGTTTGATGGTAAGGAATGAATGATTTTAGGAATAAAAAATGCAGCATTTGTTTACAAAAGAAAGGGTAGGTGTGTGATTTATTAATTATTTTTAAAAATTGTAAAATCAAAAAATTTGGATTAGGCACTTAGGACTCTTTTAGCTCTTCCCACTAAAAACTCTATTTTACTTATATAATATATATGATTGATAGATATGATCTCAATAGCCTCCCTCAAGCTAAACATTCTAATGGGCTAATTTGCAGCTTGTCCGAAAGAATCGGAAAGACTGAGATGTTAATCCTTGGTGAAGAATCAGAAGTTTAATAACTCTTTAAACTTTCAAAATATATAAAGTAAAACTGTTTTGGTTTTAAGTTGGAATAAAATTTTGTTATTGTTCGTTAACATTATGAGGTCTGTAGTTTATCATAGAATATTCTAATAATAATGCAACATGCATGCATTACTTCCAGTTAGGGGTGTACATGAGTCGATTTAGTTCAAGTTGACACTAAGACCTCGTTTGGAAACAAATTATTTTAGTAACTTTTTCACTTTTTATAAAAAGATGTGCAGAAAATTAGAAAGAATAATGTGACAACTTGTAGTGACATTTTGACTTTTTGGTTAAAACATGTACTTGCCAAACGAGACCTAATTTAGAATCAACACAATAGGGGTACTTTCAGGAGGTATTTCCATCTTGTGTTGCTGTTGTAAAAAGGATGAGGAGTCGGTGCTTCATGTGCTTCTTCACTGCCCTTTTGTGTGGAATATATGGTCATATTTATTAAAGTGGTGGGATTTGTATTGAGCTATTCCAGGTACAATTGATAGCCAACTGCAGTGGTGGGAGGGTGATCAGTTTAAGAAGAAAGAGCTGGAGATTTGGAGAGCTATTCCTCTAGTAACGTTGTGGTCTATATGGAAGCTAAGAAATGATTGCGTATTCAAGGATGCAAAAGCTGATTTAAGGGACTTCTCTGATCTCATAAAAACCAGGGTGGCTCTTTGGCTTAGACTAGCATCAAAGGAGTGGCAATACTCTGTCAGTGATTTCATTTATAATCTTAAGCAGATTAGAAGGTGTATTGATAAGGGTTGATTGTTTTCATAGACTACTGCTGGTGCTTTGTTTTCCTGTTTCTTTCGATTTTTTCCCTTTTTTTCTGTTGGTGCCTCACCATCTTAGGCTTGAGTTTCTGGTGATCATGCCCTGCTTTATTGTTGTATGTTCTTCTTACAATTTTGAAATTATCAATAAAGTATTCTTTCTTTGCTGAAAAAAAAAAAAAAAAAAAAAAAAAATTGGTTCAAGTTTTTGAATCCAAGATCAACCAATGTTATGGTTATATTGAAAATTAAAATTAATTTACTTATTAATATAATATTTTCAAAAAAAATAAATAAATCAATATTTAAACACAATTGTACATAGCACAGTACAAAACTAGTACATCAACAAAACAAAGAACATGTTAGTTCTCAGTTGTTCATACATGAGGTAACTTGAGCTCAATTAGGTTGGATTGTGCGGGATATACTTTGAATTATTAATTAATAAATAAACAAATGTGTAAATTATACATATATCCCTTGAAATTTATTTAAAATATGAATTATCTCTTGTAATTTTTAAAATTACAAATACTGTCTTATCATAATTTTTTATTTAATGAATTAATAGAAAAAAATGAAATTTCTAGCTACTCTATAATAAAATTACCAAAATTGTTTATATTATTGATATCATTAAAAACTGTTAATTGACTTGATAATTTATTAATAAAATGGGTCATTTGTTACGTGATTAAAAACTTGACGGGGTGTGATGAAATTTCTAAAACTATAGGGAACAATCTGTAATTAAAATAAATTTGAGGGGCAACATTCTTAAAATGTAACTTGGAAATTTATAGCAAGAAAGATAATGGAACATCCACACCATGATTGACCATGATCCATCCACCGAATTACTAGTTTTTAGAGAGAACACTTGGGTTGGGTGAGGCAAAAGCCAGCAACTCCTGGTCAGCTTCACACAAGGCCATGGCCTCTTCAAACAGGATCAACAAAATTTCAACTCCTTCACCATCTCTTGTATCCATCAGTACAATTCCAATAGGGCCACCCTTACCAACAATACTCACCCATGTTGGCTTCCCCAACCCAAAATCAACTTGGTATATAGGAAACCCACACCAACTGGTTTGGCTATACAACTCCATATCATCACCGTTCAACCCCATTTTGTTCCCCTTGCTTGACTCTTCAATTCGTTTCCTCAGCTGATACACCAAACTCGGCAAGTCGTCTGTTGCTTGACTCTCGTGGTCATCTTTATCAAGCATTGCCCAGAACATTCCGGTTACATTTCCAAAACAATATTTTGGTAAGGGTGGCACAAGCCTTGACCGCATGTTCACAGCTCCCATCAACGCATACGGCCTTGGCGACCCACCAAATCTTGATCTGGATCTGGATTTGGATGCAGCTACTGCACATTTCCATACAAGTGCTGTGACAGCCTCAACGCGTGTGGGTTGTGGCACGTTCGCACTGGCCACTTTGGCCTTGAGGTCAGCAATTTTCGAGGCGTCGACCACAAACCTGTTTCTAACAATTTTCTGGCTTGTCTCATTGATTGTATACGATCCAATTGGGATATTCTCCCTTGGGGGGAAGCGAGAGGAGGCAGCGCTGAAATCTGGGACTACAGTGCAGGGAGATCCAAGAGCCATGTCGGACCAGGCCTTCATAAATGCGGCGAAGGTCACTCCATCAGCGATCTTGTGCGATATTGTCAAGCTAATGACCACTCCGCTGCATCGAAAAAAGTTGACTTGAACGAGTAACAGAGGGGCCTTGTAATAATCTATCGGTTTGATTGGACACAAAGGGCCTATGCCTTCAGTTTTTGGTCGTTCAAGAATGTCCGAGAGACTGTAGTTGATGACTCGAGCTTCCAAAAAATCAACACCCTCATCATTGCAATTGACTAAGAGATTATCTCTCAATCTTCCGGCAAGTGGGTAGAAGTGAGTGAGGGTTTCAGACAGAGAAACCTTTAACCGTTGGGAAAATATGACCATCCCTTCGTATTTTTCATCGGTTTTAGCAGCAATAGTATTAGCAACATAGAAGAAGGCCACTGATACGTATCTAAATGGAGATACTTGATCTCTAAATGAGAGTTTGTGGGTTCTAAGGTGGTGTGGAGTGGGAGAAGATGGCTTGATAGTTTCTCTGGCAACGATCTCAACCTCAATATCCTTCTCCATGATTTTGTTCTGCGAAGACTTTTGTTGTGATAAATGTATATGAATGATGGGAGAATATAAAGACTTTTCTATATTTTATTTTAATTTATCATAAACATAATGATGTACAAAGAATTTTCATAATAATGTTGGGAAAAAAATTAAAAAATAAAATGGTAAATTAGGCAAATGGTCTCTATAATTTACACGTACGATATGTCAATTTGGTCAATGTTATTTCAATTTTGCTCGATTTTGCCCTTTAATATAATAGATTGTGTCATTTTAGTCCAATAAATAATGATTGTTAAGTTTGGTGGACGAAAAGTCTAGACAATGTGTCAATTTGGTTCCTGTAGTTTACACAATGTGTTAATCTCGTCTCTGTTGTTTTAATTTGCTCGATTTTAACAGGGACCAAGTTGACACATTGTATAAACTATAGGCACCAAATTGACATTGAATTTGACTTTTTGTTTACCAAACTTAATAACCGTTATTTATTAGACTAAAATTATTCAATTCGTTAAATTAATGAGAAAAATCAAGCAAATTGAAACAATAGGGACCAAATTGACACATCTTGTAAATTACAGGTACTATTTGTATAATTTACCCAAAATAAAAATAAAAAAAATCATAAATTAATCTAATCCTGATCAAATCGCAAGATTTGATTTGGTTTTCTTTTTGGTCCCGATTAAAAAAAGCTAATCGTATTTCATGATTTGATCCACAATTTTATAGTTATTGATTTGATTTTCAACTAAACCGCGCATCTATATATCTCTCGGAATCTTATTACTTTTTTTATAGGAAGGAAGTCAGGAACTCCCTCAAGCTAGCTTCCCACAGTATCCTAACAGCGTAGGGAAGCTAGCCTACGTGAGAGTAAGTGACCAACCTAGTATATGTAATTTTTTTCTCCTTTCGAAGGATAAGTGTAGCTTAGGGGGAAAGGAGGGAAGTGAATAAGCTTCCTCCCCTAAAGAATCTAGTATGCACGGTACTCGCTATTATAGCTATCAGTTCTCCCATCCCGCTATAACTCTTTACACTTGCAACCATATTATTGTATAGTGGTACATGTTCAATTGTACAATTAGTTCTAAACAAACATCTAAATAACTCTTAAGTTTTGAATAATATGTTGTGAACTTGTGATCATATTGTGAATTATGACAAAATTTCTAGAAGTTATAGTTCCAAATCGAATCAAACACTTGGTTCAATTTAGTTTTAGTTCTCAAAGTTTTATAGGTTGGCCTAGTTCAAATTTTCATAGAATCCTAATGAATACTTTTTTTAAATTTTTTTTAAATCAGTGAGAATTAATTGTTAGTTGTTAAATTATAATCTTAATTTGATTTTTAATTGTCTTTCAAAACCAAACTAATCTGAATCATATTTCACTCTTAGATTATGTAATTCACTGTAAAAATTTTAGAAAAAGATTGGTAGCTCGAATCTGTGGCTCGAAAAATGGCTCGAATTCGAAGACAGAGACAGAGAGAAAGGAGAAAAGAGGAAGAGGGAAGAGGAAGAGAAGAAAGGAAGAAGAGAGGAGAAGAGAAAGAGGAGGAGAGAGGGAGAAAGAGAGAGGAGGGAAGGAGATCACCACCGCCGTCACCTCATCGCCGCCGGTCGTCGCAGCACCAGCGATCGTCGCAGCATCCCCGCCGTCGCCTCCGGTCCCGCCTCCGCCTCCTCCTCCCCTGTGAATATGTCCCCTCCAATCCTCCTCCTTCCTCCTCCCTTCTCTTCTTCTCCACTCTTCTTCTTCGTCTTCCTTCTACAACAAAAACCAGGAAAAAGAAAAAAAAAAAAAAAAACAAAGACACCAAAACGACGTCGTTTTGGTGTCGAGCCACGGATTCGAGCTACGAATCAGAGCTCAAAAATTTTACTTCAAAAACAAACACTTGTAATAAAATTTTATTTACTAAAGTGAAAAAAAAGGAGATTCTCACAATGTTTAAAACATTTCTTATAAAAATTTTACATTTAAATCAACTTTCTAATTAATCAATCAATTAAAATAAAACTGGCTCACGCGCATAGGCATTATGATTGAAATAGTCGAAAATAAAATAAAGCAAAACCTGTCGATGACATTGACAACCAAATTCTATAAAGATGTAAGCGTGGCACACGTGCATTATTTTTTATTTTTTTGTTTGATTTTATGAAAAGATCCATGACAACCAAATTCTATAAAGATTTACGCGTGGCACACGTGCATTAATTATTTATTTATTTTTTAAGATAGAAAAATTGATAATTTTCTAAAAACATATTAATGTGTATTAATTAGACGTTATTTTTTAATAAAAAATTAGTTTACACACATCTTCTTTAGGGTTTGAAGAAAATACGTTGAGCTATATAAGTTTAGTATAATTAGATTAGGGTTTTAATTTACAAAACACTTAATCTTACTTTCATCAATAATTGATTAGTTGTATAGATTAAAACAATGAGGACAAATTAGGTTGATAATCGTTATAATTTGGTTCTTGTGTCATTCTGAATACTCTAATTTCAATTGACTTGATTTTGATTTTAAATTTTTTATTTTACGTCACTTTAGTCTAATTGATAATATTAATTATAATTTTTGACAAAAAAATATACATGTGATTGACACATTTCATATTTTTAAGGATAAAATTATAAATTTGTTCATCATATATCTAAGTAGGTGTTTGGCATGTACTAAAAAATTATATTTTTTTTTTTGCATACGTATACTTATTTGAGTCACATCAATTAACATCTATTAATATATCCTCTCTATTTTTTATCAAAATTTTCTACTTTTTTACATAATTTTTTATTATAAAAAATTAAAAAATATACTTATTTATAATATCCCAAATCACTCCTAACTCGGCAAATTAACATATAACTAAAGTCAATCTGTTATGGAAATTGGTCATGCGTCACAAGTGTATATTTTTTAACCCAACTCCACTCGTCGATGACATTGACAACCAAAATCTACAAAGATGTAAGCGTGGCACACGTGCATTATTTTTTTTATTTTTTATTTTTTTTTTTTGATTTTATGAAAAGATCGTTGACAACCAAATTCTACAAAGGGGTCCTGTTATGGTGTGCAACCCTTTAAGGTTGCACACCATATGCCACTAACACAAAAAGCGTAAATGGAAGATATAAACATTAAACAGGACAGCAACAGAAAAGACGTAAATGGAAGGCGTAAGTTGCACGCTTAAGAAAAGTCCTCTACAAAGATGTATGCGTGGCACACGTGCATTATTTATTTATTTTTTAAGATGAAAAAATTGATAATTTTTCAAACACACATTAATGTGTAATGATTAGACATTACTTTTAATAAAAAAAATAATTTACACTCATCTTCTTTAGGATTTGGGGAAAAGACCTTGAGTTATATAAGTTTAATATAATTAGATTGGGGTTTTAATTTACAAAACACTTAACCTCACTTTCATCAATAATTGATTGGTTGTATAGATTAAAACAATAAGGGCAAATTAGGTTGGTAATCCTTATAATTTGGCTTTTCTGTCATTCTGAATACTGTAATTTCAATTGACTTGATTTTTATTTTTATTTTTTAATTTTATGTCACTTTAGTCTAATTGATAATGTTAGTTATAATTTTTGACAAAAAAATATACATGTGATTGGCACATTTCATATTTTAAGGATAAAATTATAAATTTATTCATCATACATCTAAGTAGGTGTTTGGCATGCACTAAAAAATACATTTTTTTACATGCATACACTTATTTAGGTCAGATCAATTAACATCTATCAACATCTCCTTTCTCTATTTTTCTACACATTTTTTTTTATAAAAAATTAAAAAATACATTTATTTAAAACATTCCAAACCACCCCATCTTAATGAATTAACATATAACTAAACTCAATGGCCCCGTTTGTTTCCAGAGATAGAATGGAGGGGATTGATAGTGAGGGGATTAATAGTGAGGGGATTGTTAGTGAGGGGATTAGTAGTGAGGGGATTGATAGTGAGGGAATTAGTAGTGAGGAATTATTAAATTATTTTTATATATAATAATAAAACAAATAAAAAAATATAAAAAATTAAAAATTATATTTTAAAAAAAATTTCCCATATATAAAAAATAAAAAAAATAAAAAAATTTCTAATCCCCTCACTATTTTTCTAATACCATCTCTACCTCCCCTTACCAATCTCCCTTCCAAGGGTATTAGCAATACCAAGGGACTAATAGCTCTCCAAGGGTATTAGTAATACCAAGGGACTAATAGTCCTAAGGCCTTCTCCCAAAACAAACAAGGCTATTACTAATACCTTGGTATTAGCAATCCCAATACCTTCTCTTTCATCCAAAACAAACGGGGCCAATGTGTTATGGAAATTGGTCATGCGTCACAAGTGTATATTTTTTAACCCAACTCCACTCTAGTGACGGGAGGGACAGTTCGGTGTTGGTGGGCATTGAGTTAGGTCCATATTAATAATTCAAACTGTTAATGTGTAGAATTCATTAATTATATTATTCTTGTAAAAAATCACGTCAATCGATTATCGATAAACACTTGATCAAATAATTCATATAATGAACTTTTCCATATGTGTGTTTCTTCTTCTTCTTTTTGATTCCTTCTCCTGTGGCAGAAGTGGACTGATTGAATATTCAAGAGTAATATGTTCTTGCGGCTCCTATCACAGGTCGATCTTGCTCATCTTTTGGCAGCTCGTGATCAGGAATTACAAACACTTTCAGCTGAGATAATACTTCATTTTAACAAGCCAAGAGGGTTGCTACCCACCACTCTATTCAACAATCATAATCATTTGGGAAAATTATTGGGTATTTTCGGAATATCGACTATCCATACTTTTTTTACCAATTATCATTTATCATATCCTCTCATGTTTCTCAATCATCTAATAAAATATCATAATATCCCACTAACACCACACGACCGTACTCTGAAAATAATCAATAATCACCCAACCAGTTAATATAATGATTTTGTCTGAATGAAATATTTATAATGCTTCCCTAGTGGTTCCCTTTTGCATTTACTTCCCTCTGGCTTTTCAAACGTTATGTG